GGGTTGTTTAGCCTGGAGAAAAGGAGGCTGAGGGGAGACCTCATCGCGCTCTACAGCTACCTGAAAGGAGGTTGTGGCAAGGTGGGTGTCTGTCTCTTCTCCCAAGTAACAAGCGATAGGACGAGAGGAAATGGCCTCAAGTTGCACCAGGGGAGGTTTAGATTGGGTATTAGGAAAAATGTCTTCACTGAAAGGGTTGTCAAGGATTGGACCAGGCTGCCCAGGGAAGTGGTGGAGTCCCCATCCCTGGAGGTATTTAAAAGACGTGTAGATGTGGTGCTTAGGGACATGGTTTAGTGGTGGACTTGGCAGTGCTAGGTTAATGGTTGGACTCAATTATCTTAAAGGTCTTTTCCAACCAAAATGATTCTATGATTCTGTAACTCTATGATTCCTGCTAGGATCAGTGAAAAGCGATCAGCTCCTTCTCAGCTGTCCCTTCATGGCCTATGGAGGGATCCCAGAGATCCCTAAAATTAAGTGAGATGACCACAAGCAGTAGTGCTTAGTGTTGCAGACATACACTAGTCTGACCGCAGAGACTACTGGAGTGTAGTGACCCTCGTGTACTTATGTGGAGGCTGTGGAAATTCAGCCACGCATTGGAAGTAGCATCATGCATCAGTCATTAGGGTTCTGGACATTATAGTCTCCTTACCCATATGTCCTGCATACTTTTCAGCACACTTTTATTTGTGTAGCTCTTCAGAGTTACACAATGCTCAGTTACCCTCGAATACCTATGCAAATGGCATGCTGTTTTCTGCAAAAGACTCTGCTCTAGAGCCTGTGCCAATATTATCTTCCCTCTCTAATCCCCATTGGTGAGAAAGCAGTGGTGGTCCCAAGAGCTGATGTCATCAATCTAATTCATCAAATACCTTAAAATCATTTTTATGTTATTAAATAATAACACAAATTGCCATTAGTAATAGGGTGCTATTGTCTCAGACAGAATTAGTTTTCAAAGAAACTCTATGAGATCATTGTTAAACCTCTTTTAGAGACTGGGAAACAAAGCACAAAATCATTAGCTACCTTGCCTAAGACTGCAGATCACAGTGTCAGCCAGAATTGGGGCTGGCTTCAAGAAACTAATCTTGATTTAAAAAGCAAGCCAAATACTTTCAGTCCAGGCATCCAAGCACCATAAAAAGGATCTGCAAGTTTACAAAAGCTAGACTAAACACGAACACAATTTTCACTTATTTTTATTTCCTTGGGAGGAGTCATGTTCCCAAGCTTTTCTCCCATGACTACAAAGTCTGAAACCCTACCCTTAGTTTCTTCCCCTACATGTATTCAAAGATATTGATGCAATCACATGATCAAAGGCTTAAGAGAAAAGCAAATACCTGCGGAGGAAAAAAAAATCACACAAACCAACAATACCAGGGTTGCCCTTTAGCAAAAACTATGCTGGCAATTAGAGTGTCAAAAAGATTTCAGTGAAGACAGGGAAGTTAGTTCTGGGCAAAACTGAAGCATTTTTTAAGTGTGTCTGTGTAGTGGTGAATGTAATGAAGTTCTCAGTGCAAAGACTGAGAGCACGACATTTTGCGTTACATAATGCAGAAACAGAGTTTAGTGTTTGTAGAAAGAGTGTTACACCTGTGAGCTGTGATTTCCTTTCGCTGACAATAATCTCCTAATTGTACACGTAATTGTCAATAATGACAGAGGCCAGAACATGAATACTCTGCATCCGTTCCCACATGGTGCTCTCAAAGGAAAACTTACTACTCCAAAATTCTCTCTCTACTCCTGCCTTCAATGGGACAGAGTTTCAGCTGTTGCACATTGACATAGCGCTGTTAGTATCAATTCACATGTACCGATAATTCAATCAAAAAAACAAATTACTTTTATCCTAAAATGGGAGTATATTGTTCTAGACCTCCAAATCTCCCAGGAGCTAAGACAGGCCACCATAAAAGCAAGGGTTATAAACTTGAATTTGTTATAGACAAATAAGGCTTTGGCCTATGAATTCTCTTTGCCTATTAAGTTAATGAGCCTTGACAAAACAATCATCTGAGGAGTAGCTGACAAATTATCTGGAGCAGCAATCTGAAAGGCCTTGGCTGGCTTACAAGCATTTCAATTGGGAGAACATGGCATCATGTTCCTCTTCCTCTGGAAGAGTTACTTGTCAAACCAAATTTCTTGCAGTTCAGCCACAGAATCTCAATATTGCAGCACTGAGATATGACAATGACTGCAGTTACCAAAACAAGCAAATAATCCCTGTCCCTTCCTCCCCAAACCTGAGGCTGACAAATTCTGATGAAAAACTCTTTCTAGGAAGCCTGCAGGAAGACAGGGAGATATCTTTTTATATTTGACTGGAGACCATGGAAGTGTATAATGTAGAGGAATAGGGCTTTGAGGAATTCAGAGGAATAAAGGGAGACCTTTCAAAATACCTGGTCAATATTTGGAAGATTTTTTTGTAGTACAACTTCCAATAGAGATGGTGGTGTCACCACTGTGGATTTAAAACAAGGTCTTTTTATGGATTAATTCTTCCAAATATTCAACACAATACAGCCCTGAGACACATCACCTTTGTGAAATTTAAGGCTGCGTACAATGAACACTTCTGCAATAATAGCCACTTGGATTAGGGTTAAAATGGGATTAATATTTTTCTAAAATCTGTTCTCCAACTGTGAATACTGAGTCCATTTGGAAATTGGATCATGGTATATGTTGTAAAGCTGTCATTTTTGTCACCAAAGGCATTTGGTGAAATATTTCAAATGTCTTCCTCCATGGTCATCTATTCAAAGAGTCCTGTGGAAAAGATGACAGTATTTAAGAACACCAAGAACTGTCATATTTTCCATCTGAATGTTATTTCATAGTGGGAAAGAAGTATAAATTATAGCAATCAGTTGCCTCTACCACAGCATGTAGCAGAGCATAGTGCAGGGCATTTAACCGTGAGTTGTGTCTTTTCTCATTTTTTGTGTTCTTTTTGCAGTTTTTGTTGGACTGTTGAAATAAACAAACTGATTAAATATACAGGGGCTAGAGCTTAATTTTACATCAAAGTCGAATGAAGAGAAATGAGATCTTGTTCTTAAAGAGAATTGTTAACTGACACTCAGTAGAACAAACCCCAGCTTTTTATGTCCTGATGTCAGGTCATCAAATACCTGATGACCAAGTATTCAATCAATCACACAATAAAGCAAAAGGATGTAGAGAATTATACCTTCAGGTGGCAGAATGGCCTTGTTCTATGAGCTCTCCCAGGCTTCACTGATTATTGGCATATGAGTATCTGGTCTGCAGGGAGTAACCATAGCAGATTCACCCTTTTCCCCCAACCTATCTCCATAGTCCTGACAGTCGTGTCTATAGAGATCAACCATTTAGCAATGAATTGCATCTTCCTATGGTTAGCAAGCCACAATCTAACCCTCAGTGCTCCCAACACACAATTCCATGGCCCCCAAATCCCCTAGAGCCTGCTTGTTCAACTTTCTAATTCAAGTTGGTCCCTTCTTTTCTAAAGGGACCATTTTAAAAGTAAGAGTCTTTTTATAAAGCTCTCTTGTCTGGCTCTAAACACACAGAAGCACTGTGATGCTTACAGATAAATTACTCATATGCACACTATATCTAAAGACCTGAAGTCACTTCACTACTTTTTGGGTAGTTATTTCCTTTAAGGTAATACTTGCAGAGAAATTAAAATATTGTGGATAGATCTGTTAGTGCCTGGCACCCTGCTGGCGTTATTTATACCTTTATAAAACATTGCCCTTATCAATATTTTTCACCCAAACTTGCACTGGCCTGAACAGCTTGACTAATTACTTTGTCCAGTGATTAAGCATCTTTTAATGAATTGTAGACACTACACAGTTTTCATTCTAATAAACCGACAGCTTCTGCATGGTGTTACCACATCTGTTGCATTCTTCACTAGTATTTGTCTTATTGCTTGTTTAATTTAGCTTTCTATTTCATAGCACTGCAATGCCTTTCACAGCTGTTTTTCTAATCCCTGGGGCTTCTTTCCTGTTATTGTATCTTACATTAATTTACCATGTTACTTTCCACTTAGACACTTCTGCTCTTCTCTGCCCACATTACTCTTTTCTTTGAAAATTGTCTTCTGTAAAAAATGTCTATGATCAAAGCTCCAAATACAATTATTTTTCTTCTACTCTAGAATATAAAAGACAATAGTTTTTTTCCTGACAAAGGAAACACTCAACAACTTCTTGAAAATTTGTGCCTAACTCTTCCTCTATCTCCCAAGTCTTGTTTGCAAATAATTTACTACTATCCTAGTAGACTATAGAAGAATAGCTGGGTTATACTAGCATACAGTTTTGGATAGTATGTTTTTCTTTATTAAATATTTCTCAGGAGGCACTCACTGACAATATTTTATAGAAATGTCTTCCATTACTTCAGTTATGGAAACGTTCATCAGTTTAGGTTTTACTAACTGTCCTCTCAGAACACAGCTAGCCTAGGGAATGCTGAATTTTACATGTCTTCTCAACCACGACTTGGTGAGGGAGGTGATTATTTTTTGCTCAATTTCTTCTGAATGGCTTAGGCAGCCACCCTATAAACCCAAAGATGCTCAGTGAACAAAGTATGCTCAACACAGAAACAAAATGACTGAATCAAACCAAATTACTACGGCTTTCAGTGAAGTCTTAGTCACTTTCCGTACTCACAGAGAAACAAATACTGAATTCAGTTGTAAAATGTGATACATATTATGTAACCTATTTTAGAGCACCATTCCAATGGATCAAAACATTGCCTGTGTTCATCACTGGATTTTGGATGACCAAAATTATATACCGAGTTAGCATATATCTTCCAGTGGTGCAGATGTGAAAGCATGGTTAAAAACAAGCACAAGCTGTAGAAAAAGAAGATCTATGGTGAAGATGCAAACTATGAGATAAATCCAGTGATGTTCATGCACTCTAAAGAAGGAGGTGAGGAAGAAGCGCATGCAGTACCTGGTGATCTCAGAGTCAGGGAGCAGGCCTACGTGGTAGTGGGGATAGGGAGCTGTAAGAAGGAAGCTTTTGTCACACTCGACAGGGGAATAGTGCCTAGGAGAAGGTGGTTTATCACACAGTTTGTTCACAGTGCTGTAAACAGGTTCAGGAGGCCTGGTGATACAGAGACAAGAGTAAAAGATCAGGTGCGTATTAGTGGCTGAGAATACAGAGAAAACACAGCAATCATTTTAAAAGCATGCATAGAAAATCTGTCAAGACTTTTTCAGTAGGGCTTTTCTGAGAAGTAAAGTGTGCTGTTAAAGGAAACATTAGAATTTGATAATACAGTATTACGGCATACAAGCAACTGCATATAAAGATATACACAATATAAGTGGGCCATAAAACCGGCTTATGGGAAGTGTGGCACTGAAAGGGACTATCTTATCTCTGAAGTTCAGTGATGAATTTTCCCACATACTCTGCTTGCTTTTTCTTTAATCTAACAACATTACTTCTGCACAGCTTTCTGTGATCTTAATTTTGAGCATTTCATAGAAGAAAATATGATGTTTATTACCTGAAAAGAGGTATCTTTTACCCATTAATTTGAGATAAAGATGAAGTACATATTACTTGTTAATACAACATACTCCTGCCCCGATGGGCTGGTGCTTTGCAAGTAGAGCTGTGGTCAAAGTGAGCCATGTGCTGTAATAACACTGATGGTAACAAACTGTGTAAGCAATTCATCTCATTGGCAGGCAACTCATTTCATTTCAAGAGTTCTTTGCTCTCTTTTCAGATTCAACCTTCAAAATCCGATTATGCAGACCATATCTCAAACAGTTAAGCTCGTTGACAAGGCTACTGCAATTGCACTTGCACTGCTGCTCCAAATTACAGAAGTAGTCTGTGAAGCTAGATACGAAGAATAAGATCCTAAAACTGACACTGACAGGTCACCTAGCATTTCTCTCCTGCTGCCTAGAGGTCAACCACTTGGGAGAGGCAATACTTACCACAAACCTCCCAGGGAGCCACCTGGGGAGAGGGAGAAGGGGATACAGCCTTTAGTACCAACCAGCCAGGGATCCACAGGAGGCAACCAGCAAACAATTTTCAAAAAAATGCACCACGTAGTACATTTCCCGTCATGAAACTTCTCCAACTGCTGTGTTGGCCCCAGCAGATACCTCTGGGCCTACTGACAGAGTGAAACTTGACTCATAATTTCCTCAAGTTTCTGTTCTAAAGAGTGCCAAGATGCAATTGCTGTCATATCCTCGCTTCTGCCAGAAGATCCAGGGTATGCCACTGTCTTTAATCACAGCAGTACAGTATTAGCTAGATGAAAATCTTATTTCAGAAGCCTGAAAATATCAAGAGGCCAAGAAGTTAATGAACTCTTTTTGTTCTTCTGGCTGCACTGTGCCTCACATGGGTGTGGTTTTTGCTGTGACTTTCACAGGTACCAGAATTTATTATGGTCGTGGATGCATTGGCAGATACAGAGAACATATTTTCCTTTGTTGTTAGCTTCTGGTTTTGTCCTTTGGGGGAAAAGGAGTAGCTGCTTTATTTAAAAATTGGTCTCACTCAATGCTAATAACATTATTCATAGCAATCTGACATATGATTTGAGAACTCTCTGTACCTGACTTTCCCAGGGAAATCTTTACAGTTAAAAAAAAGGCAATTTAAGATTACCAAATATCAAAATGGCAAAGCTGTCACTCATTTGGTTATAAAGCATTCTGTCAAGGATTTAGTAAAATCCCTTTAACAATGTTTAAGATAGCAATTCTTTTTTATCAGCATATTTCACACATGTTTCAGAGGGTTGGATTTAATAATTTATTTACTAAACCAATTACTGCTTTCAACACAAAAAATCCAGAGGAAAAAACTTCTATTATTTTACTTTAGACTGATACTGCCTTTTATTCCCTCAGAAATCACTTTTGCTTTTAGGCAGTATATTAAAGAACAAGTACAAATATAAAATATAAATGATACCTACTATGAAAATTGAAGAAATATTGCCCCAGTGCAGGAAGATGAATAAAAACTGTAGATTTCTTCATGGCTTAAAACACTAACCAGTCCATAAAGAACTTGCTAGCTTCTTATATTCAAGTTACTTGTCTCCTCTGAGTGGTAGATGACATGAGAGTGTCGCTACCCCTTGGATATATTGTGAATGCTCAAACTACACTGAGTCATCAGTGAGTGACCATCCAACCTTGTGCTGAGACACTAATCATGCCACAGAGATGGATAGATACGAGGGATTGCTCTGTTAATTGACAGTTACAAACTGCTTCCAAAAGCAAAATGAAGGTAAACATTCAACATCTACCTAGATATTGAGACCAAATTAGTCCTTCAAATATAAACACCGAGCCCTAACAAAATGTCTTGCAAAGCCCAGCAAATTTTAAAACATTTAGTATTTTCACTCCTTTCAGTCTTGCTGGATGATAAGATAACAGAAAATTCGAACAAATCACCTTGTTGATAACAGAAAATTCGAACAAATCACCTTGATGTATAAAGTCCTCTACTCATTGGTATTATATAAGTGATACTGTCATACCCTCTGTAAGTGAGATGAAGAGAGAGGTCTTAAGGTTAAAAAAAGGAATTCATACTTCTTATCCTTTTAAAGCTTGGACTCTTTGCTTAGAATAGGATTCAGGGTATCAGCTAATTCCAGTTATGAGTGCACTTGTAAGGCCTATGAACTGGTCTGAGATCATCATAGCCACCTATTTACCATCAGATGCCATTCTTCGAGGTCATTAAGATCATGGACTAAACTGGTTCTTTAGATACCTTCATACTACTCAGATGCATATGCTAATACTGCCAATTGCATAGCTGGGCCCTGGCTACACGTTTTATTGGCGCAGAAAAGCAAGAACTTGAAAAATAAGCAGTGCAGCTCAGATCAGTATAAACTTATCTTCTCTCTCAATTTGATTTAGTAAATATAAACTAAAAGGTGTAAAAATAATTGAAAGTTGGGATAAAAAATGGAAAGGAGGAGAACATTTAAAACATACTGGGCAGATCACTGTCCTGACCATACAAACTGCTTCATGTAGGCCAGTAATCCTTAAAAGTAATAGGAGACACTTATTGCAACAAACTGTCTTCAAATATCCTCCTGACTCTTCACCTTCTTTGTCACAAACTAGGACTTAGCTACAATAGTACCTGCCTACTTTGGAAGAAAACAATCCTAAATTTAAAAAAAAAGATAATTATGAAGACCACCCAGCTTTATTAAATGATTCTTCTAATGCAGCATTTTCTCTTATCATTTATATTTCTCCTCACTGGAAGAAGAAGAAAGAACTTCTATCCAATAGGATCAGCCCACCTGCTAAATCCTGTCTCGCATATCTTCTTCTCCAGTGCTATGACAGAGACAGGTTGTCTTCTTTCAAAGCATGGGATAAGGAGAATGCTATTTAGAAATAGTTTCTAATGTGCCGTTCTGAAAAAATACAGTCAAGGTCACCTCAACTTTTCTTGCAAAATAATTAAGAGCGAGACTGAACATAAACATTGAGACCTTATTTTTTGATGCATTAATTCTTCAAATGAATTTAAAAACATGTAGCAGGTCATTTAGCATGCTGTAACAAAAGTGTAAAAGCTAGATATATATTATTTAAGGACTGATTCACTGTAGTTTATTTGCAATTGCATCACTTTCAGATACAGCAGGTACAGCTTCAGAGATTTTGTCTTATTTAGAATAAATAATTTGCAATTTTTGTAATTATTAACATGAGAAAGAACAAAGAACTACGTTATGGAATTTATTTTGTTCATTATCTTAATTTTTTTTAATACTTATGCAAAAAATCCCCTTAAAATGCCAAATGTGTGAATATTACTCTATACTTCTTGGATAATTGTAATATCTATTTTCATGAGTAATTATCTAATATGGGTCTACTCTGAAAAATAACTAACTGCTGCTGTAAATTCTTATTTAGCGGATCTGTTCCCTTTCTGTCTTTAAACTGTTTATTTAGTGACAAACGTACGTTACAGTTCTCTGTCTTTATCAGTGAGCTAAAAACCAAGCTCTGATAAATGAGAGCAGCAACTGCTAGGCCTAGATGGACAACAATAATTAGGTTAGCATGAGAATCAGGCATACAATAGTAGAGGAAAGGCAACAGAAAATATAAGTAGTAGCATAGCTTGGCTTGAGCATGCCTCAGTAGATAATTCAATCACAAGAGAGAGAATCAAGTCACTCAATGCCGCCAGGTAAGCTTTGAAATGGTAGTATGAACAGCAGATAGTCATAATCTACTTTTCTAGCAAAAAAAAAATTTGAAAGCTGGAATTGTTAGTCAGTATAGACCTAGCTCCAATGAGGCACAATTTCCACAGAAAGGTGTAACTAATTGGTGGAAAAGCTAACAGTAACAGTGGGAGGTAGAAGATTGATCTGACACTGGTTTTATTTATTTATTTCATAACAGATTGTGTAAAGAAAGCGAATCTTCCTGGTTGTTTATAGTCCTTATTATTCCTTGTTTGGATCATCATTGTGTTATTGTTTCAGGCTGGCTTTATTGCACAACAGAAGTTATAAGAAAATGGCATTATTAAAACCGTTCTCTCAACAGCATCATGTAGGGTCCTCAATTTAATTTTAACTTTTTTTATTGCAGAATCCTGTTTGGTAGGGTTCTGTTGCCAACACGTAGCACATCAAATCTTAACAGTTTCATTTTTTGGATTTTAAAACCTTTTATGATATGGAAAGAAACCAGCTAAGCTCTCACAGCATATTGAGTCTGCAGGGCTATAGCCAGGAAATGCTAAATTCAATCTGATAGAAAATAAATCTCATAATGCTACAAGTTTCCAACATTTTTTTTTTTGAGTAGCAATTTTTAATTGTACCCAAGTTCAGTAAAGACAACTAATTCATTAGTATTGCTAATATAATGTTGCTGGGAAGTGTGCAAAGATCTGCCTTTAAAAGTATGTCACTATTAAAACAAAAATCAATGGCAATTTAATACAAAGGAACTCTTCCACTTCTAATAACCAGTGATTTTTATATATAAGTCTTTTGACTTCTTTTAGTTTCTTGTTCATATTTCCTTCTAGGAGAACCACATACCTTATTGTTC